GCCGCGCTCCCGCGGCGCCGCCGACCTGATTGCGGGCGGGCGCGCGATGGGCAGCGGCAGCAGCCGGAGCGGCCGGGCTCTGAGGCGCCTGCGCAGCCGCGACAGCCTCCTGGCCGGGCCCGGCGAAACAGCCCCGGACGGCGGGACGAGGCCGCTGGCTGCGGCGGCGGCCCGGGAGGCGGAGGCGGAGGCGGAGGAGGGGGCGGACGGCCGCCACCGCGACCCCGCGGCGCCCCCTGACGGCGGGGACGACACCCTGCGCCTGCTGGACGAGCTGCTGGCAGAGTCCGCGGCTTGGGGCGCGGAGGAGCCGGTCCCTCGGGGCCCGGCGCGACCCCCACCCGCAGCCGGCGCCGGGAGCTCGGTGAGTGGCGGAGCCGCGCAGCCCGCGGGGCGCACCGTCCCCCCGGCCACCCCCGCCCCTGTCCCCAGCGCTGTCCCGCAGCCTTCTCCTGCGCGTCCCTCCCCAGCTGCGTTCTCCCACCCGCCTCCAGGGCCTGCCCGGTGCCCATGGCACCCTCCGCTGCGCCATGTCACCCCCGTCCCGCTGCCTGAGAATCTATTTTACGGATCACACGGCGCCTCCTTTCCTAACACCCCCTCTAATTTTCTGCCTCTGTTCCTTCTCTGGGTGCTGCTTTAACTGCCTTCAGTTTTGGAGTAACAGTGCTGGGAGCAGCCTTAACGGGCAGGAGACGGGCGTCCCTTGGCAGAAATGCATCTCCTGGGCTTGCTCTGGCCAGAGCTCCCTTTTTTTCCCTTCTGGAACGGTGTGTCCACCCTCAAAGTACAGCATCCGGGCTCCTTGCAGCTGGGCAGGGAGCTGGCCAGGGGTGCTGCTCTTCTCTGGAGTACTTTCCCCTTGGCCAGCCCCTGGGGACACTGTTGGAGGCGGATGCTAAGTGCCGGGGCCGGTAGCCAAACAGTGGTTCACGAACGCCCTGTGTGTCAGACACATCAGAATCTTTGCCTTGCTGGTCAAACAATTCGCACATTACTGGCTATTTTTAAGACGCTGTTGAATTCCTTTTTGGCTTGCCTATTCTCTCTTACAGAACACTTGTAATAACAGCCTTGCTGGTTTAGAAAAACAATAAAAATGAGCACTCTGGTTTGGCAACAGTCTTCACTCCAGCAGAGCTGAATGAACAAAGTCTTTAACATCAGCTCCTGGGCCTCAAGAGGATGCTGAAGGCAGTGCCACCTCCCCTGGAGCCAGGCGGGCTTTGCTTAAGGACTGCCAGGACCTGAGGGAAGTGTCTTCTGGGCAGCCACCAGGCAGCAGAATCCGGACCAGGCCTCGGTGCGGGGGTTGGGGGAGCACTGGCCCAACCAGTGAGCTGCAGTTAGAAGGACTGAATTCTTCTAACAAGATTCCTGTAAGACTACATCAGCATCCAGTTATATAACACTACAAATGAATAAACAGTTGAGAAATTTGGGGAAAATTCTGAGATAGCATGGAAGCAAACTGTTAGTGTTCCATTTTCAAGTGCTCAGGAAACTTGAGAAGGGAAAACGAGAGGAGGACAGAAAGAATGGATTTCTCCCTGATTCACTGAGTAGGTTTGACTCTTGGGGGTAGGGCTGCCTTCCTCATTCTGTCATTTCTTAGGCACTGTTTGAGCACCTACTATGTGCAGACGTCACTCTAAGTGCTAGGACAAAGAAAATATTGGAATTTTGATGAATTGTTAATGAAACCCTTACTCAGAAGTTGGCCCTTCTTCAAAATGTTGGAAATGATGTTCCTGAGGACAGGGCAGATGCTTGATTGAGCAAGTAAATAGCACCATTTTAAATTTTTTTAGGAAGGACGGATGAAGACCTCCCTTAGGTTCATAATTATCTAGCATTTTTGGAGGAGAGAGGTATTCCTAAGAGAATATCAAACTCAAGTGAAATGATCTCTTTAAGCACCCACATTTAGAAATTTTAAGCCCTGTTGATTAGAACTTCTTGGAGACCCTATATGTATGTCTGAGCCCATCATTCTGAATATTATGTATTACATTTGGCTGTCCAAGAATATTTGTCACCAATATTTTAATGAGCACTTGGATCTCAAACATGTATTAACTCTTTTAATCTTTACCCAGTTATTATCCATTTTTACAGATGAGGAAGAGGAAACAGATACAGAGAGGTTAAGTAACTTGAATAAAGCCACACAGTTAAGACAGAGCAAAGATCAGACCGTCAATGGTCCTGCACCCTTATTATCAAAATGGCCCTGACAGCTGTGAGGCTCGCTTGCTACTGCATTTCTGTCCTGGGTCCACCCTCAGTCCTTAAACTGTCGCTTTTTAGTATTGTTAGCCTATAAGCAACCGACCAGCCTTCTCTGACTCCCCCACCTGAAGAGCCACGTCTCTGAGCCGCCCTCGCTAGTGGAATCGCATAAGCATCCTTGCTAGCCCAGTGTTTAAAGGAAGAGCAGACCCTCTGAGGTCAGGCCTGGAGAGGTTCCTCCCTGGCCTGAACAATCATTTCTTCAGTGAACAGGCTTTGTGGCCATTATTTTAGTTGATTAAGTGCTCTTTTTTTTTTTTTTTTTTTTTTTTTTTTTTTTTTTTTTTTTTTTTTTTTTTTTTGATTGTTTTTCTGATATAGTTGAGGTTGCTGGATAAGAATGAAATATTGCCATATTCCTTTTAAAGCTGGAATTTTAAAAATTTTAAAGAAGCATTTCAATCATTTAAAACCACCTCTAACCCAGAGTTTTTCTACCTCTCATTGTGTATAAATTTTTCCCTGACATTTTGGCAGAAGCAGCTTTCAGTTAAACTCTTTTTTGACTGTGAACCATAATACTTTGCAGTGAAATACTAGATAGGAGGACTTTCACTCTTCATTGTAAGCTTAGGAAAAATTATGAGCAAATTTGAAGTAAGACACAAATGTAAAGGATATAGCAGTCCCCTTGCATTTGGGTTTATGTTACAAACCCCCAAGTCCAGGAAACAAGATCTCATGGGAAAAGATGGGATGGATGAGGCCAAGGTCCCTGGTGGACCCATGACAGTCTGTGTGTGTCTGTGTGAGTATTTATGTTCCCTAACGTAACTATGAGACAGTTCACCAAATAAAGAGAACATCAGTACAGTCCTATCTTCCAATCCAGTTCCATACACTCTTCTGGGTATCAGTACAAACCAGCTAGAAAGAAGTCTTCCCTCTGGGCAGTCATAAGTTGTAGTGTGGGTGCACTGCAGAAATGTTTGTGAAATTTGGCTTTGCGGCAGATGATACTTATATGGAAGAGAGGGGAGGACGTGTTTTTGGGCACCTATTCTGGGTTAGGGACTAAGGTAGGTGCCTCGTAGTCATGTTCCACATTTCTGTCTTCCAACAGCCTGTGGGTAAATATTGCTTTCTCTTTTTTTACAAGGAGGCCATTTCAGCTCTGAGACTTTAATAACTTATCCAAAGTCGTGTGGCCAAGAAGTGAGGGAGGCAGTTTGTATGCAGGTCTGTTCCCAGAATGCTCCATGCATTTTCCACTTTCCAGATGTTCAAGTCACAGGGCAGATCCAACAGTTTCAATGATCTGCTCACAACAATGATCTGCCCATTTTTCTTTAGTGTGTGACTTTAAAAAAAATTCAATAATATCTGATGCTCAACACTTCTGCCACCTTCACCAGAGCAGACGTATCAAGAACTTATATTTTCTCTAATAAAAGCACCACCCTTCTTGCCCTCATAACACCCCTTGACTGTTATTGCCAGCAACCTACTTACTCATTCAGATGTTTATGTGCTTAGGGGGTCATACGATTTTCACTAAAAGTTGTGACACTCACATGTATTTACTTAACATGTTACACCTGTAAACAGCATCCTTTTACTTGAGCATTTGCATGAGACTGCACGTGTAGGCATGTTGCTGGTTACATAGTGGCAAACAGAGAACATGACAGAAGGAAAGACGAAGTCTGTTTCCCCTCCTGTATCAGTTTTGATTTTTAGGAAACAGATTTTCATGACATAAAAGATATGTACAGAAAGAGACAGAGAAAACTGGAATGAGATATTATCAGTAATACCTGTGGAGGATCAACTGAGCCATTTTCATTTCCTTTTTTATGTATTTCTGTTTTCCAATTTTTCTACAATGAGCACTTACTCCATTTTTTGTAAAGTTAATATAGGGCTTATTTTTTAAATTTAAAATCTCTAGTAAGATCATGTTAATTTCTTGTATTGAAAAAGAAATTGCGGTTCGGTTCTAATTGCATAGAGATTCTTCAGGTGTAGAAAAGGCATGCCAGATAATAGCCGTGGTTTATTACGGCTGTTCGGAGAGCCAGGTCCCATTACCCATCGTTTTATTTAATCATCACCAGAACAGGTACCTGCAGAATCGCCCTTGCCTCCCCCAAACTACATGTCACAGACAAGGGGACAAGGCAGAGGTAATTAACTTGGCTAAGGTCATGCAGTTTGATAGAGCCAGCCCAAGTCTTTCTGACTGTACTTCCTGCAAGGGCTGTGGATTACACTAGAATTTTAAAGCAAATTTGCCATCAGGAGGGATTATAACTTGTTTCCCGATTTCCTCTGGTGCTCAGTTTTTCTCCAAGATGGGTTTCCACTCCCCCGACCTAGAGCCTTCAACAGCCTCCCTGATTATGTACAAGATGTGTCCCAAGTTGCTAAAAATGTGTCCAACACAGCAAATGTTATGCTTACTTTTAAATGTTTGCTTTTAAAATTAGAATATGTAATATACATGCACGTGAGAAAAAAACCTCCTGGTTGTCTTTTTCAATACAAGAAATTAACACTATTTTGCAAAGGTTCCATTTTGCTATAGGTTCCGTTTGCAAAGGTTCCATTTTGCTATAGCAAATGAGGACCAGCATAATTCTTTCTTGTCTGTTACCATCAGCCAGGACTTTACAGTAATCCTGGTTCACAGCTGCTAATGGATGTGAAGGTGAAAACAAGCAATCAAAATCATTACATGACTGGAAAGCAGATCTACCAGAGGGATTTAAAAGGGATGGATAATGGACTTTTGGCAAAAAAAGCCACTATTTTGAAGATAGTTGCCATCTGTCTGCAATCACATCTATAGAACGAACACAAACTTGACTGGCAGTAAGTGGTACCTGATCAGTCTAGGATGTGTGGAAGAGTAAAACAGTGCTGGCCCCAAAAAGCGCAAAACTGTGTTGGGGGAGGACTGTGTCAGTGAGCGTTTGTCATGCATGATGGAAGCCCTGTTTAGAAGTATGTAAGAATTATTACACACACACAGGAGTCAAATAATGTCATCTGAGGCAGACATATCCCCAGTGGCCCTGCCGTCTGTGTAATTCTAAGCAATCAGTTAGGTTTTCCAGCAGTTGAAAAAGG